TATTTTGTGACTGGAAGTTTATACCTCTTAATCTCCCTCACCCATTTCTCTCACTCCCCAATCCCTTCTCCCAGCAACCACCAATCTGTTCTCAGCATCTACAACTCCACTTCCATTTTGTTATGTTTGTTCATTTGTTCTTCATATAAGCGTGATCACATGGTATCTGTCCTTCTCGATCCCGTCCAGGTCCATCCATGTTGTCACAAATGGCAAGACCTCATTCATTTTTATGGTTGAGTAATATTCCACTGAATATATATACCACATTTTCTCTATCCATTCATCCATTGATGGGCGCCCAGGTTGTTTCCATATCCTTGACACTGTAAACAGTGCTGCAATGAACATAGAGTTGGACGTATCTCCTCAGATCCACATTTTTGTTTACTTTGGACAAATACCCAGGAGTAGAATTTTTTTTTTTTTTTTTTGGCAGTACGCGGGCCTCTCACTGTTGTGGCCTCTCCCGTTGCAGAGCACAGGCTCCGGACGCGCAGGCTCAGCGGCCATGGCTCACGGGCCCAGCTGCTCCGCAGCATGTGGGATCTTCCCAGACTGGGGCACGAACCCGTGTCCCCTGTGTCGGCCCGTGTCCCCTGCGTCGGCAGGCGGACTCTCAGCCACTGCGCCACCAGGGAAGCCCCCCAGGAGTAGAATTGCTGTATTGCATGGTAGTTCTATTTCCAACTTTCTGAGGAACCTCCACACTGTTTTCTGCATCCTTGACAACACCTGCTATTTGTTATCTCCCCAATAAAAGCCATTCTGACAGGCATGAAGTGACATCCCACTGTGGTTTCAACTTGCATTTCCCTAATGATTGGTGATACTGAGCATCTTTTTATGGGCCTGCTGGACATTTGTATGTCTTCTTTGGAAAAATGTCTATTTTACATCCTCTGCTCATTTTTTAATCAAGTTGATTATTTTTTTATGTTGAGTTGTATGAGTGCTTTGTATATTTGGGATATTAACTCTTTATCAGATATATCATTTGCAAATATCTTCTCCTATTCAGTAGGCAGCCTTTTCATTTTGTTGATAGTTTCCTTCACTGTGCAAAAGCTTTTTAGTTTGGTGCTGTCCCATATGTTTACTTTTGCTTTTGTTTCCCTTGCCTCAGGAGACATATCAAAGAAATATTGCTAAGACTGTTGTCAGTGGGCATACTTCCTATGTTTTCTTCTAGGAGTTTTATGGTTTCAGGTCTTACATTTAAGTCTTTAATCCATTTGGAGTTTTTTGGGTTTTGTTTTTTGTTTTTGTTTTTGTATATGGTGTGAGAAAGTAGTCCAGTTTGATTCTTTTGCAGGTAGCTGTCCAGTTTTCCCAACACCACTGATTAAAGAGGCTGTCTTTTCCCCATTGTGTATTCTTGCCTCTTCTGTCATGGATTCATTGACCGTATAAGTGTGGGTTCATTTCTGGGTGCTCTATTCTGTTCCTACAACCTATGTGTCCACTTTTGTGCCAGAGGTTGCAGTTCTCTAGCTGAGGGGACAGGGTGACTTACTGAGTGGCACTTAGTGAGGTAGTGGTGGGACTGGGAGCAGCCTCCACCAGCCCTGATTCCCACCCCAGGGCTCTTCCCTTGCCTCTCTTTTTCTCTCCCATATTTCTTAGTTTTTTATAATTCCCCTACAAAGTCAATCCCAGATCATGTATCTCACTCTTATCCTGTATGAAGGATTCACTCCTTTATGAAGTTTTTACTCTTATGGGCTTGTCCCAATGTTTCCACATTCTTTATTCTTGGATTCCTTTCATATATATGACCCACATATATGAGATATATATATATATATATATATATATATATATATATATATATATATATATCTCATATATATGGGTCATATATATGAAAGGAATCCAAGAATAAAGAATGTGGAAACATTGGGACAAGCCCATAAGAGTAAAAACTTCATAAAGGAGTGAATCCTTCATACAGGATAAGAGTGAGATACATGATCTGGGATTGACTTTGTAGGGGAATTATAAAAAACTAAGAAATATGGGAGAGAAAAAGAGAGGCAAAGTGAAAAGATAATGGGAAACATAGATGAGACAAAGAAGACAGTAAATTATGGAAGCCAAAAAAATGGAAGGTAATAGTCAGAAATGAAAATATCATAAAATAATTCAAGAACATGGGGATAGATGTAGTATTTTTATGTCTCTTTTGAAAAAATGTATCTAGAATTATTTCAACAGTAATAGTCCATATGAAAGAGATAATATGAAAGTACATTTACACTCTTTTGAAGAGAGGTAAACCTAAAATTGTAGCGTTATTAGTTCCTAATCCTCTGAAATGTTGAATGAATAAGAAACAGAAATTCAAATATTTCTTTCTCTATGTGAAGAACCATTATTATGTAACGTCAAAGAAACAGAGAAAGCTAAGACTAGGTATTCCTTCAGATGACTTTATTGTTTTTTTTTAAAGACATGGCTGATGAATGAAAATACAAGGGCTTGGGGAATCCCAAACAATTTGAACAATCAAACAGCACTGCATTAATTCAAAGAGAGGTATAGTTTATACAGTATTCAGAACTGTTATTTCCCTACTTTTGCACGTCCTTAAGAGCTTGCACCTAAATGTTAAAATCACATTGGTTTGCAGCCTGATTAATCATCAAAAAGCATTAACCTTCATGGTTCATTTGATGAGCCAAATACCCCTGTTGTTCCTCCTGGGATAGGAGGCATCCATTTTTAATCTCTGTTTAACAGAGATAAATGGGAAGTAATAAGGAGGCAAGTATCATAGAAAATGAATTTAAAATATGGATAGTCAACCAAAGATATCTACTTAGCAAATCAATGTACTGGTTAAAGACAGGATTTGAAGTCAGGCATGGATTTGCTCCCAATTTTGCTACTCATTTGCTCATTAGTTACATAACCCTCCTTCACTCCTTTTTTCGCACTCTCTCCTTCCTTGCTCCCTTGCTTTCTCCCTCTCCTCTCTTCTTTTATTAAAAGACTATCTAGTGAGCATTTCCTATGTACTGGATTCACGCCACAGACTAGTGGGTCAGTTATCTCACATTCCTGAGGGACAACATGGAAAGTTTATGGGGAAGAAATTCGTGGTGTACAAAACAAGGAAATGTACAGATGCAGAAATGAGTCAGGCTTGTTTGGACAACTCTGAACAGGCTGTAGGGAGATAATGAGATGAATTTGGAAAGCCAGATGGAAGTCAGGTCATAAAGGGCCCTGAATGCCAGGATGTGCATTTTCAAATTAACACGCAGGGAGCCGGCTATTAGAAATCTAGTGATTAGGAAGTTAGTCTAATACAGGGAGGCCAAAGGAGATTATTTCAAGAAGGATAGATTTTACTCAAGAAAGAAATGGACTTAACTGTTGAAAGGATGTTGATGACCTTTAAAGTAACTTTGACTGAGTGGTGGGGATGAAACGCAGTGGTAGGGATGCAAGGAGGGGATTAAGAGTGAAAAAAATGAAGCCTGTGGGGCCAAGCGTTCCACAGGAAGGGTAGACAGAATGGGAGAGAAATAGTATGGTAGAGATTGAGGAAGCGGCAAGGATAGGGCAGATGGAGAGTTACGACCTATGTGTGAAGTAAGAGACCAGCGTAAAGAGACTGAAGATTCTAGGGCCGGCGCAAGGATACAGGGTGAGAATTAGAAAGGACAGGTGAAATGGAGAGGGAAGTCTTGCAGAGCTGAAGCAGCACTTCATCCTCCGAGATTGAAGGGCGTGAATTGACACTGAGATTTCCTTTGTAGCAGGGAGGGAATCAAGGTCACATTTATCTGTGTACTCCAGGTGGGCTCTCATTAGAAAGAAATGTGGCGACATCAGGCCACAAGAAGACGTGACTGAAGCTGCCAGAAGACAGACATCAAAGAGTCGAGCCCATCAATAGGTTCAGTAGGGGCAGCGAACCATTGTGACTCACACTCCAGAAACCTTTCTAGGTTTGGCTGCTGTGTAACATGGGAAGGTTGCAGTGCAAACATTCAAAGAAATGTAAGGTGCCCTTGATCACCCTCTCCTTCAGAAACAATGGTAGAGAGTTATAGAGGTTACAGGTCCAATCCAAAGACTATTATTCATGCTCTAAACCGCCCAATAAAAAGTTGAATGGGTACTTCCGTAGAGATAAACATATCCTAGAAACCCGTGGTGGTAAGAAAGCCACTCAATTCTGCATGAATATGTCTAGTCTACATTCAGAATCTCAACTCTAGAAAGCTGCCCCCAAAGTTATATACACTTTCCCTCTGTCCTCCACCTCTAGGGCTCAACGGGAGCCTGCAAGAGAGCTTCCAGGGGGTCCAGATCTGGTTCCATCTCTATTTGAGCTCCAGGTTGGGGAAGAGGGAGCAGAGGGGTACTCGGTATAGCGTGCTCTCTTCCATGACCAGCTGGGCCTAGGCTCGCACCCCAGGAATAATAACTCACGCAAGGAAGGCTGAAGCTGGGCTATCTGGTCGGGCATCCTCAGCCCAGAGAATCCTGTGGGTTAAGCAGACCCTCGTGTGCACTTGAAAAGCAAGCGGAGTAAGTGCATTTGGCGGGAGAGGGCACAGTGCTGACTGGGCATACTTGCTTTGGAGTCTTCCCTTGCGCATTAGCCTACCTGTGCCAAGAGCTGAAAACTGGGGCTGCGGGAAGGAGGCGGGGTGTCCGTCCGGGGCACTGACCCGTTGGCCCTGTGGCTGAGTGGAATGAGGGGGAGCCCTGAGCGCAAGCCGGGCCTAGGCCGATCCCTGCTCCAGTCCACAAATCCTTAACGGGTTTTCTTTCTCTCCCCTCACCCCTTTCTCTCCTTTGCTCTCTTTCTTTCTCTCTCTTTCTTCGCTCCTTTCCCCTCTCTCCCCCCCTCCCTCCCCGCCCCCTTTCCCTTCCTCTCCCATCCCCCTCTGCCCTCCCCCTTGCCCTGCGGGTGAGCGTCTTCCTTCCCCTCCCCCCCCTTTTCCGCCTCCCTCCGTCTCTCTCCGCCTCCTCCCTCTCAGCTCGCCGGGCGACCCTGCTTCTGCCTCCCACGTTAATGGCGGCATCTTCGGAGGACGATATAGACCGGCGGCCCATCAGAAGAGTCCGCTCCAAGAGCGACACTCCGTACCTCGCGGAGGCCAGGATCTCCTTCACCCTGGGGGCAGGTGAGGACGAAGCTCTAGCCTTGCTCTCTCCGCCACGCCGCTTCCTTGCCTCCTCCCCGGCGGGCTCTGCCCCCAGCCCCTGGTCCCCCTCCGCCCCCCGGCCGTGCCCTCCCCTGCGCCCCACTTGCTACCCAGCCGGGTCCCTGGCGCTCGCTCGCTCGCTCTCTTTGTGTGGCGAGTAAGGAGGGGCGTGTGTGTGTGTGGGGGGGCGGGAGGGCGCGGGCGCGG